ATCTTAGAGAAAAAACCGCACGAACTTTTTACTTGACCTAATAAAAAACAAACAAAAAAAAAAAAAGCTACCACCATGTTGGCCGAAGTTAAAGCCACCATCACACACTTCCTTGAAATGAAATATATCTCTTTTCTTTAGATAAATATATATATATATATAGATTTACATATATACGCATATATGTACGTATGCACATTATGTAATTTAGTACCTTAGCTTATTTGAATTTTCCGCTAACTGCTGTTAGGCATCATTTACATAATTACACGATTATATTAGTCAAGTTACTACTAGTAAACAACTAACTGCTTTCACGCCAGTAAACAAGCAACAACACCAACAACTGCAACAATGCTCAAAAAATAACAAAAATAACAATTACAATGCTAATAACAAATTGTTCAGACACACAAAACTGGGTTGATAAAGTGTACATATGTATGTATGTACATATATAAATATATATAGAAATATATGTATATAAATATATGTATGCGTAAATATTCGGTGGAAATTCATGAATCTTTAAGTGGAAAGAAACAACTAAATTCATAAATATTAGCCGACTTTCGTGTAAAAGTAGCTGTAGGTGTTGGTTTCAACAACGAGGGCGGAGTGTACATACATACATAGAAGCAGCATGACTTCCAGCGTTGCATGTCTTTCTTATTACATGCCTACATTCATATGTATGTATGCATATTTTAATACTAATAAAGTGTGTAGTTTAACAAATGGCGGCTACTCTATCATTTGCTATGAATAATACTTAAATTAAAACAGAAATAAAATGGCGTTTGTTTAAAAGGTTAATAGTAATGTTATGTAAATAGCATTTTATTTCAGTTAATATACTTAATTTATTTTCATTTGCAAATTTTCTGAATTTCTTTTTAATGTTTGATTTCTTTTTCTTTTTAAGATCATTTAACTTTTTTAATTTTTTTTTTTAGTAATTTTTTAATTATTTTGTTTTCAGTTCTCTTATAGTGTTCTTCAATTTAAATTAATATAGAATGTTTATGTTTGAATTAATACATTTTAATTTTTATATATAATTTTATAAATAAATTCATTTTATTTTACTTAATATTTTTAATTTAATTTTAGTTTATATAATTTAATTTTACCTACCTTAGCTAAATTCAATTTTGTTTTATTTATTTGCTATATGTTATTTTAATACATTTTATTTCTTTTAATTTTTATTTAATTTTATTAATTTATATAATATAAAAAATTGTTTTTTTTTTCATTTTCAAATTTTCTTCATTTCTTTTCATGTTTTTATTTCTCCTTTTTATTTAGAAAAATTTCATTTATATTTTTAATTTTTTTAATAATGTAATTCTTTTGTTTTGAATTAACTTATTTTCCTTTTTAATTTAATTTAACAAAGAAAATTTGTATTTAAATTAATATATTTAAGTTTTTTTATTTGAACTTATTTTATTTTTCTTTAATTGTATATCCTTTTATTTTAATGAATTAATATTATTTTTTTTTATTTAATTTTATTTTACTTTATTTAATTTTTTTAATTTGATTTTATCTTAGTTTAATTTGTTTTACTTTATTTTAATATATTTTATTTTATTTCATTTTATTTTATTTTATTTTATTTTATTTAAATATTTTTTATTTATTATCATATTTATTTAATTTTATATATATTTACTTAATGTAAATATGTTTTAAATTGTTTGATTTCGTTTCACTTAATTTTAATAAATATCATTTTGGTTAATTTAAATTTCAATTTGTAATAAGTTTTTAGCGCGCGAAAGATTTATTTGTTTATATAATATGAATTGAATATTTTTGTTATACAACAAAGAACCTGGTGGAGAAGTGGCAGCTGTATCGGAGATTACCACAACTCATCAGCAGGCTTCTTCTGGCAGGGTCTTTAGTTTTTATTTTCGGACATCAGATAAATAAGAAAAATTGGGGCCTTAGCTCGATTCGCTTCAAATTTGGAACATTCGAGTCGATAGCTTTTTGTACCTTTTTAATCTCAATTAAAAAAAAACCCGTTTTAAAGGTTATTTGTTTCTAATAGGATGACTGTTTGATAAGTCAGTAACTTTTTGCATTTGCAACGTGGCTGCCGTCCTGTCCTTTCCCCGCTACTGTTTAATTTTTACATTTCAAATACCAACTCCCTCCTCCACCACCTCGTATGCCGATGATTGAACGATATTGATAACCTCTTTGCGAAAGTGAACTGCTTCCTGCTGAATGAAGGTATACAGGCTTGAACTAAACGTGTAGGTCGATAACGTAAAATTTCCGACCGTAAACAACCCAAAGATATTGGGAGTCACACTGGACAGCCTGCACTCTTTCACTCCCCAATTGCCGCAACAAAATACTCGAAGCGCTAGTCGGCAGCATCAGGAAACTTTGCTGGCAACTTACAAAGCATTTGGCCGGCCTGTCGTAAACTATGCTGCACCGATCTGGGTGCCGCTCTCAGGACTGCGACAGGAAACCACCTGTTGTCACCGGAGCATCACTTGCACAGTGAAGCATATTTGCTACGAGTTACGGAGCTTAATGCTTTAATGTGCAAGCAGTAAATATTGGGATGTTACCACGGCGTGCTCGGAGTATAAGCACCACCCATTGCAGACAACGAGCTCTTGCTGCCTCGAGAGACACGCGTGACCTTGGCACAACTCAGCTCAGGATACTGTAGCAGGTTAAACTCATACTTTTCCTCCCATTAGATGATGACTTGTCTAGCAGACTAGTAACCAAACACCCTATAAGAAAGGATTTTCAAGGAAGAAAATGTGGGACCAATCTATTTGGTACACGGGTTACTTCACTTTGTCTAAATTGACTTGGAGAACACTTTTTCTTGTGGGAAGTGAATCTGGGACCGATCTATAAAAAAAAATTTGTAGATATCTTTGATTTTGATTGGGGAGCGTTCGGATTGCATGAAATTTAGCTCTTTGATTAGAAAAATAATTGGAAAATTTTTTTTGAGGAATTCGGATCTCGCAACGATCTATTCGCGATTTTTTCCCCTCTAGATTATAGAGAAATCTGATTTTTGGATTGGATTTTGTTAAAAAAAAGTTTATTTATTTTAAGTATTCAAAATGTTTAGCATAATGATTAATAAGTTATAAAAAAAAGAAATACGAAAACAACAACGAAAAATTAAATGCGGACGAAGCAGCGGGCAAGTTTTTTTTTAATATATGGTCAACTTTGTGTACACTTGTCCAATTTAAGTCAAATATGCGCCGTGTTGTTCGTAAACTTTGTTGCCAACGAGATACCTACATCAATATTCCCCTCTCGTAGAAGGCTGCGTCTCTATTGGCAAAAAACTCGGAGAGCCAACTTTCACAAGCCTCTCTTTAGGCTAACTCCTCACCATTAAGCACATTCGCCATGGACAGGAAAAGATGGTAATCACTTGGTGCCAGGTCCGGACTATAAGGTGGGTGCATTAGGACCTCCCATCCGAGCTTCTGGAGCTTCTGGCGCGTCACCAAAAACGTGTATGGCCTGACGTTGTTCTGATGGAACACAATTCGGCTTCTGTTAATCAAAGATGGCCTATTCTGGATGAATGTTGCCTTCAAGTGGTCTAGTTGTTGGCAGTATATGGCCGAATTAAGCGTTTGGTCATAGGGGAGCAGCTCTTAGTAGACGATTCCTTGCCAATCCCACCAAACACACAACAAAACCTGGTGCATCTTTGGCATCGAAATTACCCGAACGGAACCTAGCAAACCAGTTTTGTGCTACACGTTCGTTTACAATATCGGTCCCATAAACTAAATTAATTTTTTCAGCTTCTTTGGCTGCTCTTCGCCTTGATCGAAGAAAAATGGTAAAATATAGCGAATTTTCTCTTTTGATGGTGTCCATCTTTGACGAGCGCTCGCAACGTACTGAGTCAATCAATCGAAAAACTTTCAAAGACGATCTTTGAGCGCGAATAAACAAATTTTCAGCGCCGTAGGGTATGACATGATGCGACACGTAACACTGGAACTATGGACAATAACGTCATCTCTTAGATAAAAACCAAGCGAACTTTTTACATAACCTAATATTTTTTTAATTTTTCTAAGTAAACTACGAGGCCTTGTTGTTTGTATAAATAGAATATTTTTGTTGTACAGCAAAGAAATATGGTAGAAGTGACAGCTGTTTCGGAGATCACCACTTCTCCTCATCAGACTTCTTATAGCAGGGATCGAACCAACGGATCCTGACTTAACAGGCTAGTGTTCTACCACTGCGCCAACATCAACCATATAATCTGTTGTTGTATTATTCAATCCATTATTAACCAACAACTATTAAGTGCGCTAATTTAGCCGCTATTTTCTTAACAGCTTGGTTAGTGTGTTGTGTTGGAATTTTCTATACTTTTTTAATTTTGATCATAATTTTGGTACATTATATATTAATATTATATCTTGAATTTATCTGTTTAATTTTAGTTTTACTAATTTTTAATTAATTTAACTCTATTTTAGAATTAATACAATTTATACAATTTTTTATGATTTTAGTTGATTTGGTTTTCTTTAACTTTTCTATAGCATATTTTTTTTAAATACTTAAAATACTAATATATAATATTTCAATTAATTTAATTTCATACTGCTACCTCCAGCTCCATCTCTTAACTGTATATTTTTTTTTTTGAACGAATTTCTCGCTGCCACATGCATTTGCGCGCTCCTCGCCAACAGAGTTATGCAGATAAGCATGTTGCTGGAGACATACGAGTACATCTATGTAACGCATCATCAGATAAATCTCAACTACATGCATTTTAATTGATTGACAGATTAAAAACAAATACCAATTAAAATTTTTAACACAAAAAGCAAAACCACATATTAAAATGAATGAGAATACCAAAACCAAAAAAAAAACATGGAAATGAAAAAAATTTGCAAAAAATGCGCACAAAAAATAAAAAAAAAAAAATCATAAAAAATATACTGCCAACTTGCCTCGTGGCTGGGCGAAAAAAGTTAGTGAAATCCTTTACAAAATTCCATTCATCACTCGAATTTATTTTTATATCATAATCTGTTATGCGCAATGAAAGCGATTTTAATTAATGAAATTACAAACATCTACAGACATACCAACACATGACCGCCACTGCATGCATTGGCCATAACAACGCAATGCGATATTACAAGTACACAAACTCTCATAAAGTCATATCAATTTGTATCAATAAAGTATGCAGTTGGCAAAGGGCATACGTACAGCTGGGAAATACGCTAAAGTAAATTAAATAAAAATTTAAATCAGAAGACGTGAAATGACCGCGTAGGGAATTCTTTCCAAGAGTGATAATATTAATGTAGCCTCACCGAATCCAGCTAGAAATCGCACACACACGGGAATATACTCTACCATGGTGTTTTGATGTTGTATTACAGAAGAAGAAAGCATTTATGCATAATTAGAACGCACCTAAAATATTTCAGGATCTATACTCATTAATAGAATATTGCTCGGGAACCGCTTTTTTCGCGTCACTTGCATCGGAGCTCTCTGGCAATAGGCGCACGCTGCATCACTGCGATAAATATCGAGATTTTTTCAATTAGTTTTCCACTTTCCAATTTAACAACCGAATATTACACTTCTTACACTAATGATCTGAAACTTGTTTAAGGGTCTAAGACACTCTAGGATTTTGAAAAACCCAATTCTTTTGTTTGCTCACAGAATACCTTTGGGTACTAGAAATGATATGCAATTGGTTTAAATTTAAAGAAAATATTTCAAACTACTGAACCTCTGCTTTTGCTGCAGCCCCGCCGAGCGTACGCTGAGTATATTGAAAACTCTAAACGCGTTTTTCTCAAAATCACATTTTTCAAACTGTGAAGACATATTATTCGTACGCTTTTGCATGGATTTATCTAAAATTTTGACGGTAGCTTCACAAATACATTTGTTTTTTTTAAGGACGCAGTCGTTTTTCGATGATATGTAAAGTTTTTATTAACCATTTAATGCATATTTTTTAGACAAAAGTCAATCTCTTTAAAAAATGGTTTGCCGCTTTCACAAAAATTAGTTAAAAAATACATCCTAAAACTTTTTGCATTTCTGTTCTAGGTCTCATCCATGAGAGGAAATCGGTACTCCCGTGGATCCCTCTCAAGAGGAAAAATGGATTAAATAATGGACTTTATTACCGCCATTTCGTAACAAAATAATATTTAAAGATTTTTTTTATGCCACAATACATGTTAAATGAAACGGTTAAACAGAAATTCCATTCCTTTTCACATATTCCTACAAAAAATTAAAAAAATGAGTCTTATTTCATAACCTCTAGAATGACTTTAGCCCTTAAGATTATATCCGATTAAAATGTGTTATAGGCTACCCAAGCAGTTGGTGTGAAATCTCTTCAACTTCCAACCACTCTTGGACACTGGTTACTCTCTTATGCTTTCGATGTATCCCCTTAACCCTATATAATGCCACCGTTCATACCCTGGTACTATCTAACAGGCTGGAGGAGTTTTTTTTTGGCTTTCTAGCATGACATCTGGTTTGACGTTCATCAAAAGAGCCTTGACCGCTGAGAGTTTATTCAGAAATGTCACTTCTTCTAGATTCCTATATCGCTCACCACAGCGAAACTTCGTTTGGCCAGTACAGGCGAGTTGTCCTCACGGTTTCTATCTGTTTTGACCACCGCACGACGAACATTCACAGCCCACAACGCGCAGTCATAGAAATTTCGATTTTCGCTTTTTCAATCGCTTTCTCTCTGCCTTTTAGGGCAATACCCCGCATTACTTTCTCAGTACAATATATTCACAATGCTCCGCTTCCTCGTCTGGGGTCATCTTTCTCAGCTGCCTGTGGCTGAGGTTGGTTTGATCATAGTTGCCATCCTTGCCTGTAAAAACTCAGACCGGTTCTACCAACATTTTAGACAAAAACCCCGGCTTTTTTGGGTGTGGACAAAAGCATTTGTAAATATCAGTTTTAATCGAGCCAAGTATGCGAGTTACTCACCAATTTGGTACCCCAAAAAGCGAGTTGAACACTGCCAACACGTGAAGAAAAATCAGGAAGGAGATAGTGAAAGGTGTAAGGGTGTTCCGTGGATCATTTTTCAAGCTCGTAAAAATCTCATTAGCTTTGTTTGGTTTCCCTTGCTGTGATAGAAACCAGCTCTTCATCGAAAAGCCATCTGCACCAGCCGTACCAGCTCTTTTTCTGGTACTGCGAAAAACGAATTGTTTCTGCAGCGACCGTACGGTGGCAGCTAGTGTTGCTGTTCCGCATTTTCTTTATATGGAGTTCCTAATGAGTGCTCTAAGGAAGCAGACGTGCAAGTCGTGTGAAAAACCGTTCGGCTGTCTGTTGTGATAGCACCATTTCGACGTCGAAAATTCCTTGTAGTTGTTGATGGACCTTTTTTGATACACAGAGGCGGATGCGTATCTTCGCTGCAACAAGATAGTGGTCCAAACCGATGTTAGGATCTCGGAACGTATACCTAAAACCCTGGGTATATGTCTTCCGTTTATCACAATATGATCGATAAGGTGATTTGGAGACAGCCAGGCTGTTTAATGAACTTTTTGGCTGAAATCTAGTACTACAGACAATCATTTTTCAGACCCCGGCAAAGTCGATCAGTCGCCCGTTTAGGAATTTTTCGTCAAGTTGGCTGTATTTTGCGACAGTTGTGCCGAAGATACCTGGTGCCAAGCCACACACGCCTTTGGTGGCGCACCAAAAGCTCCAGCAGCTCGAAGGGAAGGTCCTAATGCACCCACCATATAGTCCGGACCTGTCACCAAGGGATTACCATATTTTATTGTCCATGGCGAACGCGCTTAATGGTGAGAAGTTGGCCTCAAGAGAGGCCTGTGAAAATTGGCGCATATTTGATTCAAATCGGACAAATGTACACAAAGTTATCATCTTTGAAAAATCAATAAAAAAACCGAACGAACTTGACCTAATATTTTTCACAAGGATCCATCTTCTTCCAGTCTTGTTCCGTCCATCGCGCTTCTTGGACGGCGGTGATGTCAGCATGTTATTTTATTAGGACATCAACTAAGGGACCGGACATTTCATTTGCGGAGTTGTCATTTAATTTTCATTACACGCTGTTGGGAACACTTCTCACAAAACAGTCTCGAATTAATCCCAATTTAAAAGAGAGAAAATAATTTTTGTATTTTATTTAAATAACTCTTATATAACAAAATAATTAAATGAAATTTTAATTGAATTATTTAAAAACAAAAAAAAAAATAAATAAATAAATAAATAAATAAAAATATCAAAAAAAATCAATAAAAATAGAAATAAAGAAGTATTTTTAGACGAAAAAGAATCTAAAAGGTAGCTAAATATTCTTGCTGGGGAGGTTAATGAAATTATATGCTTGAATGTATATATGTATGTACACTCCTACTAGTGACTTGTTTGAATAATTATTCGCCATTTTAAAATCTGCATATTTTTATTGATATGTTTTTATGCGTTTTTCATTATTTTACATACATTATTTACAGTAAACTCGATATTTTTTATTTTATATTTTATATCGTAATTTTTTCATGACAACACCAACAGCGCAGCGTCATTGCACGATAATCACAGTCATGTTGATTTTATGATAATTGAGTGGGTTGCAGCTATGAAAACACGTTGATTCAGTGGCGAAATAAAAAAATAATAAAAGTATTAAAAATATATATATATATGTAAGTGTAAAAGAGGTTGAAAATGCGATATAAACTCTGAAAAAAGTATATAAACTTCGGAGCGATTAAAAAAATTTAATGCAATGCAATTATTAAAAGTCTATAATTTGCAGGCGTGTAACAAACATACGCATACATATACAAATACATATGCATATAAGCAAATATATGAATATATGAATATGCTATACGATAATGATGTACATAATACATAATACAAACATATGCATGTATGTGTGCGCCTTTTGCTGTCAGTCAATGCCCAATCAATGCCACGCTCCCGTTCAGTGTGGGCGGCAAAAGCTTTGTATAAGCCGCTGCGTGTGATGGCGCGCGTGAAAGAGAGAGGGAGGGTGAGTCGAGAGTATGTGTGTGTGTGTGTGTGAGTTACTTATGCATATGTGCGCATGTTTGTTATTTAAATAATTTAATTATCTGACAGTCGTTATTATTGCTCATGTCACAAACAAGCACACACACACACACAGAGGCAGGCATGCACATACATACATACATATATGCAAAAATTGAAGCTTATACACACTTATATATTCATACATCAGCTTTTATTATAATCAACTTACTTATTTATTATTTTTCGATTTTTATTTCTTTTTTCGTTTTCTTTTTTTTCATTTCAGCGATTTTAATTAAATGCATTTTTATTTACCCTTTATTTATTGTGTTTTTTCTGTTCTTTTTCTCTCCTTTTCGATATACATACATTTTTAATTTCAATGTACCTACTTATCTGCCACTTATTGCTGTAGTTATTCAATAATTTCTGTTCATCAATACTGTAATCATTGTGAACATGACAGTGTAACGGTATATTTATAGATTTTTTTTAAATTTTTTTGCAATTCTTTAACGTTGAAATAAAAAATTTACTGTTTAAAAATTATATTTCAAAAAATTTAGTTCAACTATTTGCGGCTTTAAGACGAGTGGGGGTCCTGCTTTGACTAAATTTCTCTAAATAAGGCCGAGGCAGTCGCCTAGGCGGACCTATACGGGATACAAAAAGCGAACTGCAAAACAATCAGATTGAATGCAACTCAACCTTGGAAGTATTGTAGTATAAGACTCGGTTAAATATTATCGCCAAATCTTTTTCTCATGAGAATTCCTTACTGGAATGAGGGGGAAAACACCAGCGACCTCGACGAGGGACAGCTCAAAGCTCGATGGAAAAGAGCATTCATTGAAGAATATACTCTCCGTTGCTCTAAGAGAATATGAGCATGAGACTACCGACCCACTGCAGCGTCTTCCAAGCAGAACTCTTTGCTATCATGGAAGCCGCGAATGACTGCTCAAATCTACGAAATCTACGGCCACAGGACAATCAGTTGAGATATGTTCAACAAGTCAAGCTACAAAGCACCATTCCAACATCTAGAATGTCCAAGAAATTTAGAAATATTCTTAACAAACCTTCAACAGTGACATCCCAGGCAATTGCATAGCAGACGAACTAGCGCGGGATTGAATCCTTCTATCCACAATAAAACATGCACTCGGCCTCTGGCCTTTGTCAGGCAACCAGACTCTAGATGGCTCAATGAGATCCCGGGAAACGTGAACTGACAGCTATGGCTTAAGTTCGTTGCGAAGAAATCAAAACATTTTATACTTCTAGATCGATTCTCCAGTAGCATAACGATAGTCATAAAAACGGGAAAGGAACGGGCTACCGTTTTAATGATTTTTACCGCAGCTGTAGGAACGAAGAAGAGGATTAGTCCATCAAACACTAACTCTGTCGGTCACTGTTCAGCATTAACCTTTGCGCTCATTATCCCAACTCAGCTCAAAACATTCAAGGCGTGGTAGTTTGTGAAATGTCATCGCTAGCTAATTTATACTGAGTCCGAGTCAACTAAATGTTCTATAAACTCACCTCTACATGTATTCTAGCACAACGATAACAGTGAACTCTACCTACCGAGTTGTTTGAATTTAAT